CCTTATTGATCTATTTCAGACAAATCTTCAGGAGTTGCTCTTCCTAAAGGAGTGGATTCTCCAGATGGTAAGTGAATCCTTCAGATTGATTCCTCCAGCCCAAACTTTCTTCTACAGAAATTTGAATGGCTACCGTTCACTTGTTTTTTTCAATTTTTCGTTAATTTATTTTTTATTTTATTTAAAATGTTTTCCTTCGTTAGCCTCAAATGTATAATATACAAAATAGTAATTTTAAAAAATGACGGCATTAAAATTTTTCTTCCACAGAGAAAAACAAAATCACTTTAAAACACTCACACATTTTTGCCATCGAAAGACGCCATGTTCATTGAAGTCGCACCGAGTTTAATTGACCAATTTAAGGAATGCATGTCTCTCGGCGGTACTTCTTCTAATTTATATCAGGTAGCTTCAGTTTCGTCCTCGAAACATAAACGCAATAATGTTTAAATGTTTTTTTATTTTTTTAAAATCGGCCTTTATTTTTTTAAAATCGGCCTTTATTTTTTATATGGCCGATCTAGGCCGGTTGATATTAATTTAACCTTACAGGGTGTCTGGACACAGGTAAAAATGCATATTTTCAAGAAATTAAATGTTCAACATTTTATTGAATTGGAATATTAACAAATAACATTTTCAATATGATTTCCATCATTTATGATGCAAAGATTGATGCCCTTGTGCATTCTGCTAGGGCTAAGTGCAGTACCTGTGCATTTTGCTCGAGATAAGTGTAGTCCCTGTGCATTCGAATAAGTGTAGTGCTTGTTCACCTTCATGAGATAAGTGTGGTATCAGTGTTTTTCTGCTCGGGGTAAGTGTAGTATCCGGGCACTATGCCTGGAAAAAGTGTAGTGTCTGTGCATTATGTCTGGGATATGTATTACCTGTGCAATCTTCCTGGGATCAGTCTAGTATCTGTGAACTCTGCCTAGTGTCGCCTGTCATAACTTTTGACTTGGGTCAGTGCAGAATCTGTACCCTCTATGAAAAATGCACACACACACAATTATACTTTGTATATCAATAATGTTTTGCGAGGCAGCTCTTTAGCCATTACACTACTGCACAAGATGGGCTTCGTTATTTAATAAGAATAATCAGATTTATTTGAAGTGAATCGGTGAGTCTCTTTTAAATCTGGAAAGAAGAAATGAATGATGTGGCGACATATTCTTTCTTTTAACAGTCTTGTAATCTTTACAAACAAATCTTTTTGAAATAAAAAGGTAATTAATGCGAAGAAAAAGAACGAACGAACAGAACGGTGTTTTTAGCGAACATCGAAACAGCATGGATCCTCTCAAAGTAAATATTAAGTAGCAAGTCAGCGTCGCCAGAAATTCAGCGAAAAGAAAGATAAATAAAGGGCAATAATAATAATAATAATAATAATAGCAACTGAATAAAGAAAAGACATCATCTCCTGAAACCTCATAAAAATATTGGCAAGTGTAATGAATGCTCGAATTGTTTGAAGCGTCCACATTTCATATTTCGTTGGTGCTCAATGTTAAGTAAAAGAAACCAGAAAAGAGCAATGGGGATCGAATCTAGGGCCATCCCAAATTGTTGAAACATCTGACGAGTCTTCATTCACTGTTTTCGCCTTTATATCTTCACTTCGCATACATTCTGCTTCAACAGCGATTGGATGAGTGTCTCCCATTTCAGCCAATAGAACGTTATTTGAGGAAGAAATTTAGAATCATTGATTTAGGCTTAATTGTTAGGTTCTCCAGATTTCTTCTCCCCTTTTCTTTATTGATAACTTAATGTCTCTCTCCCGACTTCCTCTCTCTCTCACTCTCCACTATCTATCTGTCTGTTTGTCTGTCTCTCTCCCTCTCTCTCTCTCTCTCTCTCTCTCTCTATCTATATATATATATATATATTCAACTCAGAAGTTGGAAAAATAAAATTTGGGCAGACAAACCTTGTCAGTATTGTTCAATAAAACATGTTTGACTCTCTCTCTCTCTCTCTCTCTCTCTCTATATATATATATATATATATATATATATATATATATATATATATATAGGTTCACATATCGTCCTGTTCACACTATTCTCTGGTCTTTTGAACAGAAGTAGAGGTTTATCACTTGTTTCCTGTTTAGGATTGGGTTTCTGGTTCATTCTAAAGTTTTTTTCATTCTCTTTCACTACCAATAGCCACTTGCATCTTAGTGGCAATATCGCCTTGCTTAGGGTGAATTGATTAAAAAACATTATATATATATATATATATATATATATATATATATACATTATTACTTAAACTTTATTTTTAGTGGATAGACATTAAAAGTAACGTTTAAGCAATAATATCTGTCCGATTAAAAAGTAAAAGTACACGACATCTTTAGGAATATATATGTCTGCGTGCGCGCACACACACACGCACATAAGACATGCTCTGAAAGTAATGCCTCTAAATTGTTTCCATGGAAACCTTCCCAACAGATACAGAGAATACAGCACGATGTCACCTTTTAGATAGAATAAATTTTCATTTACAAAACACACTCTTTCCACAGATGCCACCATTGGCTCGACATTTTTATCAACGTTATGCAGGTGTCTGCCAATGAATTCATTGATACAAAGACATATTGCATCTATTGCAAGCATTGACACTTGCTGAGACTTTACGGTGATCAAACAGTGGATGTGACCACAGTCAGACAGTGGATAATGCGCTTCAGCATGGGGTACAGTGATGCGTACGGTCGGCTATGTTCACCCTAACCCTGCACAGCTGTCAACCTACGAAATATTCAACAACATACAATATAAATTGATTTATTAGTCCGAAAAATTATTTTTAACGACAAAACGATTATATATATATATATATAAAGAAATATAGTCTTAAGGTGTGCTATATTTATGGGATATAGTGCTCAATATCAGAGATAGAGCGTGTGTATATATAAAAGTGAACATAAAGTCAATCGTCATATGTGGCCTGACGATTGAATATAGCATGAAACAGACTGTCGCCTCTAACGTTGACTTCTATGTTCACTTTTATATATATATATATATATATATATATATATATATATGCATGTGTGTATATATATATATATATATATAATATTATTATTATTACTACTACTACTTCAACGCTATTTTTAGGGGATACTCATATTTGAGTAGACGCTCCGTTTATTTATTAAAGTGTAAATTTATTTATTTTCGTCTACCGGCCTGAATATTCGAGAAATCCTATTAAAGAAAAGACGCAAACTCTGGTAGGATTCGAACCTGCATACCTCTTAGCAGGAGAAACCGTCATTAGATCCGACGTGCAAAGCCGAACAGTACCTCTAAGCGCAAATTTCTTGAAAGATTCTCGAAACATTTATATTTGCTCAGTTTCGTATCCAAACGTAAACAAAGCAATTTCTAAAGAAGTAATGGGTTTTTTTATTTATCAAACAGTAACTTTATTTTTGTTTACCGGCCTGAATATTTGAGATGTTATCGGCCTGGAGAGGCAATCCTAGCGTGTAGCACCTTTGGAAAATTGCCTGTAAACCCATGCCCCACAGAGTGACCCATGCATTGTGTGTGAAATTCGATAGATGGAACTGCCCGTCGATGGCTTTTTTCAAACGGTTGATCACGCCAGATCATGTGCTCCCTCCCAGAAACTGCAACTAATACCACACAGCAGAGTTGTAGTAGAAATCAAAGGTGGACTCCGTGGGTGCTTTTTCTTTTCTTCTTTTCATTCTTTATTCTTGTTCTTTCTTCTCAACTTCTTTTTTTTTCTTTCTTCGTCTTTGTTCTTTCTTTCTTTCCCACCCGTCGTCTTTCGTTCGATCTTTCGTTTTCCCCTCCCCCTTTCGTTCGATCTTTCGTTTCATCCTCCATCTTTCGTTCGATCTTTCGTTTTCGCCTCCACCTTTCGTTCGATCTTTCGTTTCCCCCTCCATTTTTCGTTCGATTTTTCGTTTCCCCCTCCATCTTTCGTTCGATCTTTCGTTTCCCCCTCCACCTTTCGTTCAATCTTTCGTTTCCCCTCCACCTTTCGTTCGATCTTTCGTTTCCCCCTCCACCTTTCGTTCGATCTTTCGTTTCCCCCTCCCCCTTTCGTTCGATCTTTCGTTTCATCCTCCATCTTTCGTTCGATCTTTCGTTTCCGCCTCCACCTTTCGTTCGATCTTTCGTTTCCCCCTCCATTTTTCGTTCGATTTTTCGTTTCCGCCTCCACCTTTCGTTCGATCTTTCGTTTCCGCCTCCACCTTTCGTTCGATCTTTCGTTTCCGCCTCCACCTTTCGTTCGATTTTTCGTCTCCCCCTCCCCCTTTCGTTCGATCTTTCGTTTCCGCCTCCACCTTTCGTTCGATTTTTCGTCTCCCCCTCCCCTTTCGTTCGATCTTTCGTTTCCCCCTCCCCTTTCGTTCGATCTTTCGTCTCCCCCCTCCCCTTTCGTTCGATCTTTCGTTTCCGCCTCCACCTTTCGTTCGATCTTTCGTTTCCCCTCCCCCCTTTCGTTCGATCTTTCGTTTCCCCTCCACCTTTCGTTCGATCTTTCGTTTCCCCCTCCCCCTTTCGTTCGATCTTTCGTTTCCCCCTCCACCTTCTGTTCGATCTCTCTTTAACCCTTCGCCTTTTGTTTGTTCTTTCTTTTCCCCTTCATCTTTCGTTCTTTTTTTCTTTTTCTCTTTTATCCTTCTCTTTTCTCTCTCTCTCTCTTTCTTTTCATTTTCCCTCCTTTTCTTCACTTTCTCTTTTTATATCATTTTCTTCGTGGTCAAATTCTTGATCCTTTCCGTTTTTTCTCGTCTTTTTTATTCATTATCATTCTTTTCTCTTCTCGATTTTAATTTCCTCCTGCCCAAGGCTTGTCTTTCTTCTTCTCTCATATTTTTATACAGCTCTCCCCCCCCCCTTCACTTCTTTACTTTTCCAGGAAATCTTGAACAAGCAGCCCATCTTCTATCTGTTCCTCCTGGAGGTTCGAGCAATGTCCAATAACTCCACTCTTTATCTGCAAGACATTCTTTTGTTGTTTCCCACTTCAGCATTCATCATGGCTGTCAACTTAGCGCTAGCAGTTGATTTAATATACCAAACTGGACTCTATAAAGGTCCACATCTTTCTCCACCTACCCCTCCCCTCTACATCTTCATCCACCTACCGCTCCCCTCTACATCTTCATCCACCTACCCTTCTCTGAATCTTTATGCACCATCCACCGACTAGATCTTTATTCACCTACCAAGTTTTAATTTTTTTTTTCTTTCTTTCTTTGTCTCGCTTAAAACTTGTTCCTTCTTTTTATCTTCATCCATGCCTTCAATCATTTTCTTTTTTCGGCTTTGTTCTTTCTTTCCTACCCTTGGTCTTTGGTTCGTTCTTTTTTTTTCTCCTCCACCTTTCGTTCGTTCGTTCTTTCTTTTCCCTTCACCTTTCGTTCGTTCTTTCTTTTCCTTCCACCTTTCGTTCGTTCTTTCTTTTCCCTCCACCTTTCGTTCGTTCTTTCTTTTCCCTCCACCTTTCATTCGTTCTTTCTTTTCCTTCCACCTTTCGTTCGTTCATTTTCTTCCATTTTTCTTTTGCTCTCCTTCAAATTCTCTTCCCTTTTTATGTCCGTCTTTTTCCTTTTTTTCCTTTTCTCTTCTGCCCACCCCACTCTCTTTCTTCATCTCTCTTTACTTTTCGTCTTTCTTTCACCTATGCCACCATCTTCCTCTCGACGTTTTTTCCTCTGCTTTTTTCTTACTCTCCCTTAACTCTATCCCCTTTTCGCTTTCCTTTTTCATCTTGTCCCCCAACTGATAAGGCAACTGCTCATTTGTCATTGATTCTTTGAACCTTCCTTCTGTTCCCTGTTCCTTTAAATTCGCCACCTTCAGAAGACAGCGCCTCTCAACCTTGATTGATTCTCATGCAAGGCCACTTTTATTTCTTCTTCCTCCTGTTAATGAATGTCCTTTTTACTGGGTTATTTTTATTAAACTCCCTTATATCTTTGTTTTGTTTTGTGTGCCGTTTTCCCCATTAGTAGACGATCATGGCTCTCCACGACTTCCTGTCCTTTGTAGATCTTAATAAATTTTGTCTTTTTGTTATTTCTCAAAACACTGTTCCTGCCATCCATTCACGCAAGGTCACTATGCAGATTATGCGTTGTTTTCCTCTGTCCTTCTTGCCCTCAATCTGTCCTGGGAGTATCAAATTTTCCAAGCCCTCTTTCCTCATGGTATGCACTAGAAATTTCAACCATCTCTTCCTGATGTTAAGTGTAGGGATTTACCAAGCGCAGATGTGGCACAAGGCCGAAGGTAGGGAGCACTCAGTGAGGATCGAACTTACTACCCAGTTGCAATTAATTTAGCAAGACAAACATGTTAACCATTAAACCATGTCAAACTGTTCAAATGATGTTAAGTATGAGTTTCCTTTTTGTTTCTATTTTCTCACATAATCGGTCCATGGTATCCTCAGCATCCTTCTGTAGACCCCTCCATATATATATATATATATATATATATATGTGTGTGTGTGTGTGAGAGAGAGAGAGAGAGAGGCGGGGAGACACGGTGGAGTAGTGGATGGCAGCTCGGATTGAGGAATCGGAGAGCCGAATTCAAATTTCAGTCGAATCCATTACATTCATTTACGTGCTATTACCCTTAGGAAAGGTATTAATTCTCTTCTCCCTCCAGCTATGGATAAATAGCAGGACAGACTGGGTTCCTGGTCTAGGAGAAGGAAATCTCTGAATTCAAAACCTGCGGAGGGTCGTTTGGGGACCTTGTGGCACGTAGTGCACCAGGTCTCTGTATTCGGCCCTTCAAAAAGTGTGGTTGGTTCTGCACAAAGCCTTCACAACTATAATCAAATCTCATGTGCTGGTGTCTGTTCCTAGAAACTGAGTTGCTTGACCCTCATACGTTGAATACGACGGGAGAGTTCACCATATATATGAATAGATATAAAAGAGAAAACTTATCTTAACCGACGCGTTTCGTCCTCTGAGTGACTTTATTAAGTCAAATGTAATCGTTTTAATTTGCAACAAGTATTTATAAACTTTTTTTCACTTAAGAGACGCTCATAAATATTCATCAGGTTATAGAAGATGCTAATTGACGTAATTTAATGTCTCATAAACGAAAGTTGTTGTTGAATTTTAATTATTATGCAATTAGTAATGTGTTCTATATTTTAAATAATAGGAGGTTATGAATTTAACTTTCAATATTTTAACGTTTTTATAGTCATGTATGTTGGCTTTGGAAAGGAGTAATTCTTTTAGAAATGGAGATATTTGAAAAATCTGGGGCGCAGATTTATATTTTGATAAAATTCAATAGCAGAACACTCGAGAATTTTCTGTCTGTTACTTTCTCTTTTAATAAGTGTGGCATTCTTTAGATCAAAGTTGTGTTTGAATTTTTTTATGTATAACTGATGTATAACTGATGCGTTTGATAAATTGTTGTATGCAAGATCTGAAATTTCACACACACACACACGCATATATATATATATATATATATATATATATATATATAAAAGACTGACAATGTATGTTTCCTCATAAATGGGACCAAAGAAAAAAGTAATACCACTCATCTTGTCATGCCTTTGCTGGTATGAGATGGTATGGATCATTGCAGAAGAAAATGAAGTAAATAGTAGCGATGCTATTTGGGCAATGCGTGTTACCTACCCGGAAAGAACTCAAGATTGCAGAGAGGGTTGGGTGTGTGAAATATGCTTGCCCTGACAGATATTGACATCGCCTACCTTTGAAAAAGGAAAAAAAAAAAGAGGACGATGGGGATGCAGAGGCCCCACACAGTAATGAATGAATAGTTTGGAATGAATGGGATCAGTTTCCCTAATTATACAGAAGTTGTTTGGGGGCCAAAGATTCCTTAAAGGCTTTTCAAGAAGATACAAGGGTGAAGATTTGTAGACTGGGGTTTGAAGTATTCTTGAAACAAAAAAAGAAAAGAAGGGATAACAAAAAAAAACCTTTTTTTTTTTTTTGCTCGGTCTCACAGGTATTATTATTATTATTATTATTATGGGGAATGTCTACAGTAAAGGTTATATATTTCTCATCAGAGAAAACAATTCCCCCAAGTCACCAAATACGAATGGAGATAGATATGAACAGACTGAGATAGATATATATAAACAAAATTAGATAGATACAGAGATAGATAGATAGATAGATAGATAGAGACTGAGATAGATAGATAGATAGATAGATAGAGACTGAGATAGATAGATAGATAGAGACTGAGATAGATAGATAGATAGATAGACTGAGATAGATAGATAGATAGATAGAGACTTAGATAGATAGATAGAGACTTAGATAGATAGATAGAGACTGAGATAGATAGATAGATAGATAGACTGATAGATAGATAGATAGATAGAGACTGAGATAGATAGATAGAGACTGAGATAGATAGATAGATAGATAGAGACTGAGATAGATAGATAGATAGAGACTGAGATAGATAGATAGATAGAGACTGACATAGATAGATAGATAGAGACTGACATAGATAGATAGATAGATAGATAGATAGAGACTGACATAGATAGATAGATAGATAGAGACTGACATAGATAGATAGAGACTGACATAGATAGATAGATAGATAGAGACTGACATAGATAGATAGATAGATAGAGACTGACATAGATAGATAGATAGATACAGACTGAGATAGATAGATAGATAGATACAGACTGAGATAGATAGATAGATAGATAGATAGATACAGACTGAGATAGATAGATAGATAGATAGATAGATACAGACTGAGATAGATAGATAGATAGATAGATAGATACAGACTGAGATAGATAGATAGATAGATACAGACTGAGATAGATAGATAGATAGATACAGACTGAGATAGATAGATAGATAGATAGAAACAGACTGAGATAGATAGATAGATAGATAGAAACAGACTGAGATAGATAGATAGATAGATAGATAGAAACAGACCGAAATAGATAGATAGATATAGAAAGATTGATATAAACAGGCTGAGGTAGATGGATATGAACAGACAGATATAGATATGTTTCATGCTTAATAAACGCATTCTTCAGGCCATTAATGTATTGCTTAATATGTATACGGGATGCGATGGATAAATTGTCGTCTAATTTCTGCAAAAATGGAAAAAAAATACAGACCTCATTTTAACAGATATATTTACCAGAATCATGCAAAAACATCTTGAAATACTAAAGATTAGATTTATTCAATAAAATCGCCATTAGATTCAACTACAGCCTCCAGATGACTTTGGAATCGCCTGCAACTTTTCTGGGCGGTCTCTTTGTGCCATATTTCTTGCCTTCAGGTCATCTTTGGTGTTACAAGGAGTTTTGTTAGTCTTGCAGTCTGGGGAGTTAGGTAGCCAGATGAAAAGGGGTGATGTGGTCTAACAGCCTTGACTGGGTTGTCCTGATTGTGTGTCATGGCGCTGAGTCCTGTTGTCATACATAGGGTCTTCCATCAGCCACCCTCTTGGCTCAGGGCAGCACTTGATGTAGACCTTCGTGTTGAGTCTGAGGCTCTATGGGAATATGAATAGAGGCATAACGTTGCCATCACTAGAGATCACTCGAAACACCTTCGTAATCACCATTAGACTCATCCAACTCTTTTGAAATCTTCTGCACTGTCTTCAGATTGACACTCAAACATTCTGAAATGTTCGTATTGAAGCTTCCGGCGCAAATGCCAAGCTGTATAGCATGTGGTTTCCAAATTTCTGGCAGAGTGAATTGCATCATGATGCTCTTTTTCTCACAAATGGTGCCCAACTGACCCTACTATACTGTGCAGTCGACAAAATAGAAAACAACGCGCATGCGCGAATTTAAAAATACAAAATGGCGACAATTTACCCATCACACCCTTTATACATACACACACACACACACATATATATATATATATATATATACATACAAATAATTGGTT